TTTTTTGCAAAAAAAAAATTCTTTAAAAGTCAGACAAAATGATTTTCTCAAATTTTTTTTCACATTTTGTCTCTCATAGTTGAGGTCTACCTACGATGTCTATTAACAGGCCTCTCTCATCTTTTTAAGTGGGAGAACTTGCACAATTGGTGACTGACTAAATACTTATTTTCCCCACTGTATATGAAGGCAGCTGAGAAGATGTTTGGTCTCTGGTCCTGCTCACGCTTCTAGATTCATCCTATCTGGCAACCCTGCCTGGTGTACAGCAGATCCATGTAAACGTGTTTTATTTATGTCGTGGAAATATCCACTAAGGCAGAAACACATGAATAAAAAGAAGGTGCACTGTGCGGTTTGGTCGTCAGATGATTTAATGGAGTTTGCATATGCAAAAAGTGAGCAGCAACTCAAGCAGACCCAATCAGTGAGTCTGTCAAGCTACCACTGAAACAACAGACAGGAAATATATTAATATACTTCTGGGCGGAGCGCACGACCAGCCAATAACAGAATGACAAATGGTACCGCGATATCGAATGACCAATAATAGAATTACACGTTATACAAGCAATATCGAATGAGTGCAAGGTCCATAGACATCAAATAGCGTCTTAAGAATCATGAGAACAGGTTATACAAATGTAGCAGCTATCAGAGAGAAACAGACTAAGAATAGGTCAAGGCAGTGTGAACTTAGCAGTTGGCAGAGTTATAGAAGTTATTTCCACCATGATTTATTTATTTTATTTTTGTATTTGGTTGTGTTTATTCACTCCAATAAACATTGGAAAAACACTAATGTTTCCAGAGATCAGTCTGGTGTAAACAGGTCTTTGGTTCAAAAAGCAGTTCCACATGCAGACTGAAGAAGTCTGGAGCATCCAGGGCTGAAGAATAACTGATGTCTGTTGGGTCATCAAAAGCAGATGGGCCTGACTGCTGCAGCTCTGTGGTTCAGTAAAAGTGTAAAAAAATTAAAAAAAATAAAACTGATTTGTTTATAAGCTGAATTTTAGGAGGAGAAGAAAAATAGAAAAAATAAATAAATCCTGAATGTTTGATCAGAAATGAAGCCTGATTTTCAGCTACCTATTCTGGAGGGTCTGGTGGACCGGATGGTCTTCCCAAAACTTCACAATTTTTGTTCAATTTTTTAACTGAATTGCAGATTTTTTTTTTTACTAAAGACCTTCAAACAACTAAATCAAAAACTTTAATTTTAATATTATTATTTTAGGCTAAGAT